GTGTGACCGCTGTAAACAAAGGTTTTCCTGTTGGAAATGGTTTTGGGGGAAGAAACGGCTGGATTTAGACAGTGGACCTCAAAGGGGATCAACGCTGTCTTTTGTAAATTTAATCATTCTTTTTTCCTAGGTTTCTGTAGGCTTCCTCATTCTTGCTAGTCAAGCTCAGGGGGCGAGATGAGGGAATCAACAGCTATTGTTCCATGCAGATAAGTCAATCAGAGATGAGTTTCGAGGGAAGCAGAGATTTTCCCTCAAGCATTTCAACAGTTCCTGGTCACTTTTTGTAGGGCAAAAGTCAAAGGGAAAGCGGGAAGCATATTACATTTCATACAATATTTTCTTATACAAAGTTCATAAGGGAAGCCCCATCCCCAGCCCATATCCCAATAAGTTTTATTACAATATTTGATCTTTATTACAACACAAACTAGAAATCCCATGCTCTTAGGAAGGGCGTGTGGAAACGGAGGTTGTTAGCAGTTCAAATCAAGCATTGACAGAAAGTTCATGGCCAGGGTGGTGGCAAACAGTCCAGTCCACGTAGCAGAGAGTCATGGTTTCAGGCTGGAATCAACAGATGGGCGATGAGTTGAAAAACAACAAAATCCATCGCTCTGTCCTTGGTGAACTAGGTCTCCTGTCCAAGAACTGGACCTCCTGCTCGGCCCCCTTTCCAGGGCCTCCTGTGGGCATCCAAAACAAGCCCCCAGCTGCGGGGCTGAGCAGGGACGAGCGGCAGCAAGGAGAAAATGAGCTGCTTTGTGGAGCCGGCGGAGTTTGGCAATCAGCTGTTTCCTGTCAAATTATATTACTTAAAACAAAATGACTATCTCTCGGGCGCAGGGATCCAAATTGAGAAAAGCGAGATAGTAGTTAGGCTTAGAATTAACCATGGAAAAATATGGCACCAAAATGGAGTTAGTTTGAGGCAGGGGAAGATACAATGTGTCAAGCGGGAAAGTTTAAAAGTTGCAAGTTTCAAGTGCCTCCATTTGAGAGTTGATACAAAGTCAGGGCTAGAGAGAAAGCGAGAGAGGCTGAGCGCATTCTTAGCTTCAGCTGCCTGTTGGGTCACATTACACCAGTTCTTTCCAATTTTTTCCAATTTTTGGCGGCCAGGAACTGCGGAACTCTCTGCTGCAGTGCGGAGCAATTACTGGGCGGGGGCTCCCGCCATCAGCCACAGGTCCGCAGTTGGGGAGTCCTCCTGGATTCATCGCTCACGCTTGAGGCTCAGGCGTCAGCGGTGTCTGTCTGGGAGGGCCTTTGCACAATTGAGACTCGTGCGCCAACTGTGACTGTACCTCGCGAAGGCTGATCTGGCCGGGGTGGTCCATGCCTTGGTCACCTCTAGATTGGACTACTGTAATGCGCTCTACGTAGGGCTGCTCTTGAAAACGGCTCGGAAATTCCAACTGGTCCAACGGGCAGCGGCCAGGATGCTAACTAGCACTCCTTACAGAGAGAGGTCAACCCTCCTGTTCAAGGAGCTCCACTGTCTGCCGTTTATTTTCCGAGCCCAATTTAAGGTGCAGGTGCTTACCTACAAAGCCCTGAACGGTTTGGGACCAGTCTACCTGCGTGACCGCATCTCTGCTTATGAACCCACATGTTCTCTTCACTCATCTGGAGAGGCCCTGCTCGTGATTCCGCCTGCGTTGCAAGCACATTTGGTGGGGACGCGAGACAGGGCCTTTTCTGTGGTGGCCCCCCTCCGCAAAGACCTTAGACAGGCCCCTACATTGGCAGTCTTCAGAAAGAACTTGAAGACCTGGCTGTTGTGATGTGCCCTTCCAGAATAGGAAAACTCCAATAACAAGTCCCAGAAGCACTTTAGTAGAAATTAAGATTGCCGCACACCGCACACAGAACTTGCCCTATAAGCCTTATATACCACCTGTCACATCAGCACTTTTAATCCTGTACCCATTACTCTGTCCTTGTGTATTGTTTTATTGCTTGTTTTTTTAATATTGCTTTAATTGTTTTTAATTTGCTTTAGGTTGTGTATTGTTGTGTTGTGTATTGAGGCCTTGGCCTTTGTAAGCCGCATCGAGTCCTTCGGGAGATGCTTTTGTTGTTGTTGTTCATTTGTTCAGTCGTCTCCGACTCTTCGTGACCTTATGGACCAGCCCACGCCAGAGCTCCCTGTCGGCCGTCACCACCCCCAGGGTCTCCTTCAAGGTCAGTCCAGTCACTTCAAGGATGCCATCCATCCATCTTGCCCTTGGTCGGCCCCTCTTCCTTTTGCCTTCCACTTTCCCCAGCATCATTGTCTTCTCTAGGCTTTGCTGTCTCCTCATGATGTGGCCAAAGTACTTCAACTTTGTCTCTAGTATCCTTCCCTCCAGTGAGCAGTCGGGCTTTATTTCCTGGAGGATGGACTGGTTGGATCTTCTCGCAGTCCAAGGCACTCTCAGCACTTTCCTCCAGCACCACAGCTCAAAAGCATCTCTCTTCCTTCGCTCAGCCTTCCCTGAAGGTCCAGCTCTCACATCCGTAGGTGACTACAGGGAAGACCATGGCTTGGACTAGGCAATGGATCTTGGTTGCCAGTCTGATGTCTCTACTCTTTACTATTTTATCGAGACTGGACATTGCTCTCCTCCCAAGAAGGAAGCGTCTTCTGATTTCCTGGCACTTCCCTAGGACCTGGTATATAGAGCAAATCGTGTTACGGCCTCCACGTTTTCTCCCTCTATTTCCCAGTTATCAATCATTCTTGTTGCCATCATCTTGGTTTTTTGATGTTTAGCTGCAACCCAGCTTTTGCGCTTTCTTCTTTCACCTTGATTAGAAGGCTCCTCAGCTCCTCCTCGCTTTCGGCCATCAGAGTGGCGTCATCTGCATATCTGAGTTGTTCGTGTTTCTTCCAGCAATTTTCACCCCAGCCTTGCATTCATCAAGCCCCGCACATCCTCACATGATGTGTTCTGCATACAAGTTAAAAAGGTTGGGTGAGAGGATGCAGCCTTGCCGGACGCCTTTCCCAATCTTGAACCAGTCTCCTGTTCCGTGGTCAGTTCTGACTGTGGCTCCTTGGTCCTTGTCCAGATTCCTAGGAGGGAGGGAAGGGGGCTTGGGATGCCCATCCCACCAAGAACTTGCCACAATTTATTGTGATCCACATAATATATCTATATTATATCTATATCGATATATATAATAAAAGAGAATGTATGTATGTATGTATGTATGTGTGCAGAGGGCGGACATGTATGTGGCAGCTTTCTGATTGGCTGCCACTTTCACAGGCCACTGTGACCAGCACGGGTGACAGACCTGGACCAAACTTGGCACACATAACCCCCATGACCCACTTTATGAGACAAGGTGGATGCATCGGGAGATGCTAGCAGGGTACAAATAAAGTTAATAATAGGTTCTTGTGGGTTTTTTCGGGCTATAGAGCCATGTTCTAGAGGCATTTCTCCTGACGTTTCGCCTGCATCTATGGCAAGCATCCTCAGAGGTAGTGAGGTCTGTTGGAATTAGGAAATGGGTTTATATATCTGTGGAATGACTGGGGTGGGGCAAAGAGCTCTTCTCTGCTGGAGCTCGGTGCTATCTGTGGAATGTCTGGGGTGGGGCAAGGAGCTCTTCCCTGCTGCAGCTAGGTGTGAATGTTTCAACTGATCACCTTCATTAGCATTTGAAGGCCTGCCTGAGCCTGGGAAAATCTCTTGCTGGGAGGTGTTAATCTGTGCCTGGTTGTTTCCTCTCTGTTGTTTTGCTGTTGTAATTTTAGAGTTTTTTAATACTGGTAGCCAGATTTTGTTCATTTTCATGGTCTCTTCCTTTCTGTTGAAATTGTCCACATGCTTGTGGATGTCAATGGCTTCTCTGTGTAGTCTGACCTGGTGGTTGTGAGAGTGGTCCAGCATTTCTGTGTTCTCAAATAATCTGCTGTGTCCAGGCTGGTTCATCAGGTGCTCTGCTATGGCTGACTTCTCTGGTTGAAGGAGTCTGCCGTGCCTTTCATGTTCCTTGATGCGTGTCTGGGCAATGCTGCTGCGTTTGGTGGTCCCTCTGGAGACTTCTTGTCCACAGCTGCATGGTACACGGTAGACTCCAGCAAGAGATTTTCCCAGGCTCAGGCAGGCCTTCAAATGCTAATGAAGGTGATCAGCTTGAAACATTCACACCTAGCTCCAGCAGGGAAGAGCTCCTTGTCCCACCCCACCCATTTCCACAGATATATAAACCCATTGTCCTAATTCCAACAGACCTCACTACCTCTGAGGATGCTTGCCATAGATGCAGGCGAAACGTCAGGAGAAGAATGCCTCTAGAACATGGCCATATAGCCCGAAAAAACCCACAAGAACTTAGTGATTCCAGCCATGAAAGCCTTCGACAATACAAAGTTAATAATAATAATAATAATAATAATAATAATATTTTCTAGTTTAGCTCCATTTGGGTCCATTGCTTCCACACATTCTGCATTTCAGGAAGGTTAACTAGATGCAAACATGTTTATGCAAGGCAGGAAATACATATTTTCTGTCTGTTGCTATTCAAACTTAAATCCCAGGGAGTAGAAAACAAGAAATCTGGTTAGAAGCTGTCGAGAGGTCGGCATAAAAAGTATGCTTCATTTTAAATGAATTTATATTTTAATTTTAAATGGAAACAAAATATTGTGAGACCCCTTTCCCAGTCTCTGCGACCGCGGCAGGACTCGAACCTGCAATCTTCTGATCCGAAGTCAGACGCCTTATCCATTAGGCCACGCGGCCCGGTTAGAACCACACTTTCCGCTAGATGTATAGGAAGCAATGGGAAGGGGGCGGGGAAATCGCATTCACGAGGCCATTTTGGAACGTACCATTTTGGCTTGAGAGGGAGACGCGTTTCTCAGAGGAGGAGGAAAAAAAGCTTCTGCAAATGAATACACCTCACTTTCAAAACACACCACGTGGTAAAAATATTACTCTTTATCTGAAGTGGCTTGAAAGCCCTTATACAGCAACAAGGAACTGTTTTGGGGTTTTTTAAATTTTCCTAGGATCCCCCTTTCCCGCATTGGACGAGACCAGATCAGGAAAAGGCATGGACTGAGAGGAAGGTTAGAGGGTGTTGTGTGGTGTTTTGTGTTGTGTAATGTTTTTGTGTGATTTTAGAAGGTTTTCACTACTATTTTTGAAGAATTCTGTATCTAATTCTATTTTAATGTATACCTGTTGTGGGGTTTATATTGGAAATTGTATTGTTTTGAATGGTTTAGCTCAGGCATGGGCCTACCTGGGCCTTCCAGGTGTTTTGGACTCCAACTCCCAGCATTCCTAACAGCCTCAGGTTTTTTCCCTTTTCCCTGGACTTTATCCAAGCTCAGAAGGGCTATAGTTCAGAGGAAAGAACAGACAAAACTACCTCCAATTATTCCTTGCCTGCAAAGGTGGTCCACCCCTTAGTTACATTTTGGATGGACTACTGCAATACACTCTACGTGGGGCTGCCCTTGAAGACGGTTCGGAAACTGCAGTTAGTACAGATAGCAGCAGCCAGGTTTCTAATGAGAGCTTTACATGTTCAGATGGAATCTTCTTCGACAATACATTAGACATTGGGCACCACAATTCAAGAGAGAGATTGACAAGCTGGAATGTATCCAGAGGAAGGCGACTCAAATGATCCAGGGTCTGGAGAACAAGCCCTATGAGGAGCGGCTTAAGGAGCTGGGCATGTTTAGCCTGAAGAAGAGAAGGCTGAGAGGAGATATGATAGCCATGTATAAATATGTGAGAGGAAGTCATAGGGAGGAGGGAGCAAGCTTGTTTTCTGCTTCCCTGGAGACTAGGACGCAATGGAACAATGGCTTCAAACTACAAGAAGGGAGATTACTGTGAACAAGGAAGAACTTCCTGACTGTGAGAGCCGTTCAGCAGTGGAACTCTCTGCCCCGGAGTGTGTGGAGGCTCCTTCTTTGGAAGCTTTTAAACAGAGGCTGGATGGCCATCTGTCAGGGGTGATTTGAATGCAATATTCCTGCTTCTTGGCAGAATGGAGTTGGACTGGATGATGGCCCATGAGGTCTCTTCCAACTCTTTGATTCTATGATTCTATCATTGCTTTTCTGGTGTTGCTTTTATTTTGTCTCCTGATGGATCAAAGAGATGGGGAAATGCCACGCTGAGCTTCACTTTTTGTTTTCTCTCCTGATAGATGTGAGCTCATAAGAAAAAGAGATCTACGCAACCTCTGTGCCACATCTTGGTAAGGATGAGGCACTTGGTACAGAAAATTCCGTTAGCAAGTCCGTTTGTGTTACGGAAGGCACGAAGATGGTCCTCGAGTTCCTCTGCAAAGCACCTTTGGCAGGAGGACACAGCGCAAGATGCCAGTGGAACACCGAAACAGCCACGCATGAATCCCCTTGGTATACAGATGCTTTCCAAGGGTCTTCATGAGCAGATTTTCCGGGGGGCTCAGGTACAGTATTCGGAGGAAGACGTCCAGAAGAGTGTGGAACACCTCCAGAAGCACGACTTGTGGGGCAAAGAGACGTCCACCCTTCCTGATGTCGAGCTGCAACTGCCCCGGATGTACGGGTCCAACATCGACGAGCACTTCCGCATTTTGGCCCAGAAGCAGAGCCTCCCGTACCTTGAGGCTGCAAAGGAGCTCCTTCAGTGCGAGATGCCAGCAATGCCCCTGGAATGGGCGTTTGAAGCGGGATGGACACAGTACGGACCGAATGGGGAGAGGAAAGCGGTGGATTTCCCGGACGAGCGAGCTTTGGTGTTTGATGTGGAAGTCTGCATGGAGGAAGGACGTTGCCCCACGCTGGCGGTGGCTGTTTCCCCAAATGCCTGGTAGGATGGAGGAAGCTCTGTGCAGGCAGTCCCCAAGTTACAAACAAAATAGGTTCTATAGGGTTGTTCTTCAGTTGAATTTGTATGTACCATATATGCTTGAGTATAAGCTGACCCGGATTAATAATAATAATAATAATAATAATTTTAAAAAAACTTTATTTGTACCCCGCTACCATCTCCCCAAGGGACTCAGTGCGGCTTACAAGAGGCCAAACACACAATACATTAGTTAAAACAATAACAACAGTAATACAAAACAATAAAATAAAACTCATAAAGAGAAAATAAGCAGTAAACATTAAATAACACAACAGCATTTAAAAACCTATGGCTGGGCTAAATGTAATAATCAAAATTTTAAAATAATACTGAGCATGACCAGGTAAAATATAACTAGGATAAAATTTTCGGAGAGGAATAGGGCATGCAGACAATCCTAGATCACTAATAAAGTGCATTTAGGGACATATTGCTGGAAGTTTCCTTATTCTGGGAAGGCACACTAGAACAACCGCGTTTTCAGGCTCCTCCTAAAGACTGCCGGAGTTGGGGCATGCCTGATGTTCTTGGGGAGTGAGTTCCAGAGTCGAGGGGCCACCACCGAGAAGGCCCTCTCCCTCGTCCCCACCAGTCGCGCTTGGAGGTGGGAGCACGAGCAGGGCCTCTCCAGATGATCAAAGATGATCGTGTGGCTTCGTACATGGAAATGCCGTCACACAGGTAGGCGGGTCCCAAACCGTTTAGGGTTTTGTAGGTAAGAACCTGCACCTTGAATTGGGACCGGAAAATGAATGGCAGCCAATGGAGCTCCTTAAACAGGAGGGTTGACTGCTCCCTGTAAGGAGCACCAGTTAACAATCTGGCTGCCGCCCATTGGACCAACTGAAATTTCTGGGCCGTTTTCAAGGGCAGCCCCACGTAGAGTGCATTACAGTAATCCAATCTGGAGGTGACTAAGGCATGGATCACCCTGGCCAGATCTGCCTTCACGAGGTACAGTCGCAGTTGGCGCACGAGTCTTAATTGTGCAAAGGCCCTCCCGGCCACTACCGATGCCTGAGCTTCAAGCGTCAGTGATGAATATAAGCATTACAACAGCTACATTTGCAAGATTTTCAGGCTGCAGTTGGTCAATAATTTCAAACCATTTCCCAGACATTCCTAAACAAAATAGTAGAGAAAAAAGGTACTATTTCATATACCGTATATACTCGAGTATAAGCCGACCTGAATATAAGCATTACAACAGCTGCATTTGCAAGGTTTTCAGACTATATATTTATATCTATATAGGATTTGCAGAGACTTGTAAACATGTGAGGGGAAAATTAATATATAAAAATAATGTATACATATAGATACTCTGTTTTCCATGTATTTATTTGTTTGCCTTATATGTGAAAGACCTATGGTTTAAGCATCGAATAAACTTGACTTGACTTACATTTAGATACACACACACACAAAAAAAGCCAGGAAATCGGGTGGGATTGAAAGAGAGCTATATAAACAAAGAGGACATGAAATATATCTCCTTTCCCTCCTTCCCTCCCTTTTGACTGGAAAAGAAAACATACTGTTAAGGGAGATAAGAGGAGAGAGAAATATATATTGCAACCTATGACCTTGACCCCATTATAAGCCAAGGGAGGCTTTTTCCTCACAAAAAAGGGCTGAATAACTTCTCATCTTTGAGTATATGCAGTACCTTTTTATGAAGCATAGCTGAAGCATCTTTTGCAGAGTCCATTGGAAATTCTGCACAAGATTCATGTAAATGTCTACAACTTTTACTGCTCCCAATTTTTTCAGGACCCCAACATTGAGCTAAGGGGTAGGGAACCTTTGGCCCTCCAGCTGTGGTGGACTTCAACTCCCACAATTCCTTGAGGCTCGGCATTCGCCCCAAAGGCTTACCTTGGCCCCAATGCCGAGCCTCAAGGAATTGTGGGAGTTGAAGTCCACCACAGCTGGAGGGCCAAAGGTTCCCTACCCCTGCTAAGGGAACCCCATTTGGGGTCAGGACCCACAATTGAAGGACTTTTTTCTAAATTTACTATTGCATTAAAATCCATGATAAATTAGTATGGGTGCTGGTCCCTGCTCTTGTTTTGTTGCTTTACACAGCTGTGAGTAATATGAAGATGGGTATGCTTGGTCCTTAGGTATTCATGGTGCAGCAAGCGGCTCTTAGAGCAACGGTACACCTGGTCCAGCCAGCTGAATTTGTCCGACCTCATACCCCTGGAAAGGGGCAGTGGCTTCACCAAGCAAGATGGGCAGGAGAGGCTGGTGGTGGGCCACAACGTCTCTTTTGACCGCGCACACATCAAGGAGCAGTACATGATCCAGGTAAATCCTCCTCTCCTGTTAGTTTGGCCATTTCTTTTATTTACTCCCTTCTTATGCCCCTTCTACACTGCCATGTAATCCAGATTATCAAAGCAGATAATCTAGATTATCTGCTTTGAACTGGATTATATGAGTCTACACTGCCATATAAAATCCAAATTGAAAAGCAGAACGCTAACCCCGTCCTCCTCCTCAGGATTGTCTTTCAGAAAGGAAGGAAAAATAATGTGCCGGCAGGATCCGTGTTTGCTTTGGAAGCAGCACATGAATCATTATTATTATTATTATTATTATTATTATTATTATTATTATTACGGGATCCTGTATTTGCTTTGGAAGCCGCACATGAGTAATAATAATAATAATAAATATTGATGTTATTGTAGTTATTATTATTGGCTCCATGTTTGCTTTGGAAAGAGCACATGAATTATTATTATTATTATTATTAAATGGGCTGTGCATTTAATTTGCTTTGGAAGCTGCACATGAGTAATAATAATAAATATTGATGTTATTGTAGCTATTATTATTGGCTCCATGTTTGCTTTGGAAAGAGCACATGAATTATTATTATTACTATTATTATTAAAATGGGCTGTGCGTTTAATTTGCTTTGGAAGCTGCACATGAGTAATAATAATAAATATTGATGTTATTGTAGTTATTATTATTGGCTCCATG